TTTTTTTAATTTTTAGTGTAAAGAGGATTTTACCATGTTGGCCAGGCTGGTTTTAAACTCCTGACCTCAAGTGATCTGCCCCCCTAGGCCTCCCAAAGTGCCAGGACTATAAGCATGAGCCACCTCGCCCAGCCAAGACAAGGTCTTGCTAATGTTGCTCAGACTGTTCTCAAACTCCTGGCCTCAAGTGATCCTCCCACCTCGGCCTCCTGAGTAGCTGAGAATACAGGCACAAGCCACCATACCTAGCTTATTTAGTTATTTATTTATTTTATTTTATTGTTTTTGGAGACAGGGTCTCGCTACATTGCCCAGGCTGGGGTGCAGTGGCTATTCACAGGTGCGATCCCACTACTGATCAGCATGGGAGTTTTGACCTGCTCCATTTCCGACCTGGGCCGGTTCACCCTCAGGCAACCTGATGGTCCCCCGATCCCGGGAGGTTACCATATTGATGCTGAACTTAGTATGGACACCCAATCGGCACAGCACACCACAGCCCCGAACTCCTGGGCTCAAGCAATCCTCCCACCTCAGCCTCCTGAGTAGTTGGGACTACAGGAACGCGCCACCACGCCCGGCTATTTACCTTTTTAATATATATATTCTATCTATATTGCTGTGTATTTGGATCAGATTAGATGCCTGATCCAAAGTATGAATTCATTAGGTAATTTTGTCTGGAAGTCCTCTTAAATTCAGATTGGTTTTTGACATACAAAATTCAAAACAGAATAAAATCATGTATAGCTTCCTATAAATATTAATATATCTGTTTATGGTCATTTGTCATTCTGTCTAACAAGTGAACTCCTTTACTGGGATGGAGAATCCTCTAGGACAGATGGAAGAAATGGCATGGCTCCCTGGCTGCTGGATCATATCTTATGACTGCCTCAGACTCTGAATTTTAATTTAATTGGGAAAAAGAAAATCCCACAAAGAATCTATTTGGTGATGGATGCTGGCAGCTATTTCTGATTTCCAAAGGCAGCTTCTAATGGTAGCAACCACTGTCTACTCTAGCTGTCATCAGCCACAGAATGTAGTGCCCAGCAGTGGAGGTTGGAATGTCTTGAACAGATATTCTGCAGCAGGATTTGGGGCGTAACTGACTCTGAACCTCTCAGAGAGTCTCTGATATAATCTTTAATAATGCCCATACTGGCTTCTTTGAAAAGATAAGAATAAAAACTATGAAAAGTCTATGTGATATTTTCCTAAGATGAGAAATGAAAAACAATTCACCTTTGTGAGTCTTACCTTTCCTCCAACCAGAGGCAAAATGTGCATCTTTCCAGTTTGACAATCCTTCACTGAGGAAACGATAAGGCAGGTACCACAGAGGACAACTAGGCGTTCAGCCCACTTATGCAGCTGGGTCTTTCCCTTGCGTACATTATAAATGCCAGACAGCAGGATTCGATCCAGATGATCCATCTGGCATGGTTTTTCTGAAAAGAAAACAATACTTCAGAATACACCATTAAAGTAGTATAAGAATACAGAAAGGAAAAAAGAAAGTACTATGTGTCAACATTCAACAACCTTACTTACAGGTGTAAGTAACCAAGCAATATAGTTATGACAAAATTAGATCTAATCCTCAAAGATTATCCATCACTGAATTATATACAGTGGGAGTACCTGTAAATTATGGTCTACAAAGCAAAATTTTAGTTTGGATGCCATTGTTAAATTAACCCATCTTCCAACAGCTGTAACTCCTATGTACCTAGAGAAGGCAGTATGGTAGAGTGGTTAAGATCATGAACTCCTGAGTCAGATATACTTGAATTTGAATGCTGGTTCTGTCACTTTGTTTCCTTGAACTATTTATTCCCATTAACCTTTACTCATTTATACAGTTTGAATCTTAACACAACCTACCTTCTGGAGATTCTTATAAAATTAAAATAATTAATATAAAATACTAAGCATAGTTTTCGGTACAAAAGGAACACGAAATAAATGACAACCACTACTGTTATTAGTCTATTCTAGAAGGAAGAAATCTGTAACTATAGGAGTACTCTAATTTTGTACATAATCCTCCATCTCTCTGCCACTAATATGGAAAAGCTCACGTGTGGTACTTTAATCAACTATTCCAATCATGGTGATGGAAATTCTACTTCCCATCAGAGGCCTTCATATGACTGAGATACAGTAAACAAATCACCACATTAAAACAGGAAAGACATGAAGTTCTTGGTAAAAGCACCATTAAAATCAGTGTGCACCTGTAGTCCAGGTACTCAGGAGGCTGAGGCTGGAAGACTGTTTGAGCCCAGGAGTTCAAGGCCAGCCTGAGCATCATAGAAAGACCCTGTTTCTTACAACAAAAAAAAAGACAACTATACACAGAAATGAGCAGGAGCAGCAGTATGAGGTGGTGCAAACAGTAACCCAGAAGTTGGAAAAACTGGGTTATACTCCTGATATTATCACATAATTGATTATACAAGCCTAGGTAAACTTTGCCTATTTAACCATGTGTTTCCCAAATATAATATGAGGAAATGAGCTAGATTACTTCAAAGCCTTAAAACCGCATTATTCAATAAAATTTTGTATGTTAATACACTATATGGGATAATCATTTCTCCTTCTACTTTAGGACAATCCTTTCATCTACACAGTCATTCCTTGTTATTGGCAGGTGAGTGATTCCAGGAACCCCCAAGGATACCAAAATCCATAGATGCTGAAGTCTCTCATACAAAACAAAATGGTATTTGCATATAACCTACACACATCTTCCTGTATACTTTGAATCATCTCTAGATTACTTATAATACCTAAAACAATGTAAATGTTATGTAAATAGTTGTTATGCTTTATTTTTTATTTTTTTCATTTTTTAAATATTTTTGATCCATTGTGGATATGGACGGCCGACTATATTCTAAATTCCACCTTTCTCAGAGAGTCTGATTCTCCCAAATCTATATTCCTAAACTCTAGTTCTACATTTCCAACAATCCAGATATCTCCAACTGCATGTTTACCATCACTTAAAATTCAACATGCCTGCCCAGCGTCTGTAATTCCAATACTTTGGGAGGCCAAGGTGGGCACATCACGAGGTCAGGAGTTCGAGACCAGCATGACCAACATGGTAAAACCCTGTCTCTACTAAAAATACAAAATTAGGCTGGGTGCGGTGGCTCATGCCTGTAATCCCAGCACTTTGGGAGGCCGAGGCGGGCAGATCAGCTGAGGTATAAAGTTTGAGACCAGACTGGCCAACATGGTGAAACCCCATGTCTACTAAAAACACAAAATTTAGGCAGGCATGGTGGTGGGCACCTGTAGTCCCAGCTACTCAGGAGGCTGAAGCAGGTGAACTGCTTGAATCCAGGAGGAGGTTACAGTGAGCCGAGATCATGCCACTGCACTCCAGCGTGGCAACAGAGTGAGGCTCCATCTCAAAAAAAAAAAAAAAAAAAAAAAAAATTAGTTGGGCATGGTGGGTGGCACACGCCTGTAATCCCAATTACTCAGAAGGCTGAGGCAGGAGAACAGCTTGAACCCAGGAGGTGGAGGTTGCAGTGAGCCAAGATAGCACCACTGCACTAGAGCCTGGGAGACAGAGCTAGACTCCATCTCCCATCCCTGCACAACAGCAGCTCCTTCTCACAATTCAAGCTCATCTCCTGAAGTCACCCACGCTCAAAATCTCAGAAGCAGGTTCAACTCTTGGGTTCGCTTTCTCAACTTCCCTTTTCAATCAACCATCAAAGTCTCAGTGATTACTCTTTCAAAAAGTCTCTCATATGAACAATTCCTTTCTAATCCCTAGATCAGATCCTTACATCTAAATCATCATCTACACTGGCAACAGATTTGTCTTCCTTGGGCACACTTGGATCCCATCACTTTCTGCTATCATCTGCCAAATTATGGCTAAACTCCTGATGGAGCACCCATGGCCCAAAACAATCTGGACTCAAACTGTGATTCACAAACATGCAACGTAATTTCTAATCTCCCACCATTGCCTTCTTTTTCATTCCTGCTTGTAGAAACACTCAGTTTTTAAAGAACCAACTCAAACACAGCTTTTTCACAAAGACTTCTCCTATTTCTAGACATCTCTGATTTTCCAGAGAAGAACACTGACAGAAAATTTCACTATCAGCTAGCAAAATACATCACATACGTATATTAGTAAAAATCTGGCCAGGTGCAATGGCTCACACCTGTAATCCCAGTGCTTTGAGAGGCCCAGGTGGTTGGATCACTTGAGGCAAGGAGTTTGAGACCGGTCTAGCCCACATGGCAAAACCCCATCTCTACTAAAAACAAAAATTAGCCTGGTGTGGGCACCTGTAATCCTGGCTACTTGGGAATCTGAGGCAGGAGAATCTCGTGAACTCAGGAGGCAGAAGTTGCAGTGAGCCAAGATCACCCACTGCACTCAGCCTGGGTGAAAACAGCAAGACTTTGTCTCAAAAATAACAAAATAATTTTTAAAATTGACTGGCTGAGTGTGGTAGCTCATGCCTATAATCCCAGCACTTTGGGAGGTTGAGGTGGGTGGATCACCTGAAGTCAAGAGTTTGAGACCAGCCTGACCAACATGGTGAAACCCCATTTCTACTAAAAATAGAAAAATTAGCCAGGCACTATGGGAGATGCCTGTAATCCCAGCTACTTGGGAGGCTGAGGCAGGAGAATCTCTTGAACCCAGGAGGCGGAGATCACAGTGAGCCAAGATCGTGCCATTGCACTCCAGCCTGGGTGACAAAGCAAGACTCCATCTTGAAAAAAAAAAAAAATTGACTAAACAGTGACTAAAGGCCAGGGCACAGTGGTTCACGCCTATAATCCCAGTACTCTGGGAGGCTGAGGCTGGCAGATTACAAAGTCAAGAGATTGAGACCATCCTGGCCAACATAGTGAAACCCTGTCTCTACTAAAAATACAAAAATTAGCTGGGCGTGGTGGCATGCACCTGTAGTCCCAGCTACTCGGGAGGCTGAGACAGAAGAATAGCTTGAACCCAGGAGTCAGAGGTTGCAGTGGGCTGAATCATGCCACTATACTCCAGCCTGGCGACAGAGTGAGATGCCGTCTCAAAAATAAAAAAATAGTGACTAAATAAAACTTTAAAACTTATGCACAATAAAAAGTAATAAATAAAATTAAAAGTTACAGGCTGGAAAAAAACCGAGTCACAAATATAGTACCCAAAGGATATATGTTCAGAATACATGCAGAAGTCCTTGAAAATCAATATGAAAAAAGAGAAACAGAAAGATGTATAAAAATATCAGTAAGTAACTCAAAGAAGAAGAAATCAAAAGATCCAATAACAATATGAAATAATTCTCAACCACACTAGTAGTAAGGGGGAAAAAAATTTTTTTTATTGCATTTTAGGTTTTGGGGTACACGTGAAGAACATGCAAGATTATTGCACAGGTACACACATGGCAGTGTGATTTGGAAAAAAAATTTAAACAGAGGGACCATCATTTTATCCATCAGATTAGTAAAAATTTTAAAGCCTGGCCAGGAGTGGTAGCTCACACCTGTAATCCCAGCACTTTGGGAGGCCCAAGGCAGGCAGATCACTTGAATTCGAGACCAGTTTGGCTAACATGTGAAACCAGTCTCTACTAAAAATACAAAAATTTGCTGGGTGTAGCGGCAGGTGCCTGTGATCCCAATCACTTGGGAGGCTGAGTCACGAGAACTACTTGAGTCCGAGAGGTGGAGGTTGCAGTGAGCCAGAGGGCACCACTGCATTCCACCCTCAGTGACAGAGCAAGACTTTGTCTCAAAAATAAATACATTAATTAATTAATTAGTTTAATTAATTAAAAAGAAAAAGAAACTCAGTTTCTGCCATCTTCCACATTTGACTTCTAATATTGCTCTGATTATTGCCATCCTAGCCCACCATAGAGGAAAAGAGCATAAAAGCACTGAGAAGCACACACCGGGGGTTTTCGGAACCAGGCAGAAGTAGCACACATCAAGTCTACCCCATACCATGGAAGAAAATTTTGTCACATGGACACACTTAACTGCAAGAGAGGCTGGGAAATGGGCTATAGCTGGGCAGTTATATGCCCCACCACAATTTTGTTATTATGAAAGAACAGATTCTGATTAACAATAG